CGCCTGGCCCTCCCCGCAGGGTGCCTGCAGCCCACGCCCGGGGGGGTTGCTGAGTTCCAGGCTTACACTGCTCCCAGTTTGCCGAAGTGATTCTGAGCGCTTCCCAGGACGAGAAAGAGCCAGGTGCTGCCTCAGACGGACCCACCGACTGTGCCCGGGTCAGCCTCCCTGGAGGGGCAGTCCCTTAATTTAAAGCACAGCAAGTGGGGCTGGGGACATCCCAGTCTCGGCGCCTTTGACAAGAGCTGAGATGAGGCCCCTGGTGCCTCAGGTGTTGAGGAGGGGCCTGTGGATGTTGGCTTCCCTCCAGGTCCCCGGCTGGAAGACCTCAGAGGCCGATTGAGCCGGAGCCCACCCCGCCCAGCAGTTCCCAGGACAGGGGCCTGACAGCCAAGACCCATCTAGTCACAACACGTGGGGCAAAGCCGCTGATGAAGGACCCGCTGAAGATGCCGGTCTTCCTGGCAGCCCCCGGGCAGCCCTGCTTCTGCTCACAGAGGCAGCCCCACCGCCCGCTGCAGGGAGAGGAGAGGCCAGCGGTCAGGGCGCCCAGGAGGGCAGGGGACAGAGCTGCGCCCAGAGCCAACAGCCGAACCAGGCAGGCTCAAGGGGACGTTCAGGCCCAAGGGATACGGAGGGATAGAACAAGAGAGAGAAAGCAATGGAGAGCTGGGTTTCTTTTGTAAAGGGGAAGTCGTGGAGGCACGGGCAGAAGGAAGGAGGGGACAGTCTCCACCCCACCCACCCCCACCCCCCTGCTTTCCCCGTTCTAAGCCCCTCCCTCCCCCTCCCCCGGCGCTTCATTCCGCTCAGTGCAGAGAGAACTAAGACCCGCTCAGCCGGGAGTGGGCTGCACCCTCGTGAGGAGAAGCCACCCGGGCCTGCGGGGACATGGGGAGGGTGCAGCGTGGCGCAGGGGCTGCGGGAGCTCCGTGCACAGGTGGGAGAGGGCAACACTTAGCAGCGACCCCAGCTGGAGAGTCAGCGGGCACGCGCATGCCGAGTAGTGAGCCGACGGAACCCGGCAGATCCTCCCCAAGACTCGAGTCCCCAGGTCAGGCAAAGGCTCAGGGTCAGCAGAACAGAAACGGGGAGGGCTCCGAGCCACAGCCACCTGCCCCAGGATGGGCGTGGCTGATGCCCCTACATCAGGGCGGGGGCAACCCTCCTCCATGGTGCAGACCTCACAGCTTGGTGCACAATGTCCTGTCTGCTGCAACACATGTTCCACAGGGACATGAGAGACACCCATGCCTTTGGGTGTGTGGACACACAGAGGAGTGTATAAACAAGCCAACGTGGAAGCTTATGATCAGCGCGCAGGGGAAGCCCTTGAGTGCAATGTCTGAGCAGGTGACGGAGCCCGCAGGGTCCTCTGAGCCACCTGCCAGGGGAGTACAGGAGCTCGGATGCGGCCTTCGGGGCTGGGGGTGTGGGGGTCAGCTACCTGCGTGGGGACGACGTCGCTGCGCTGAAAGTGGCCTAGTGTCACCCGCAGCAGCTTGAGCGGCAGGCGGAGCGGCCAGTGTGGAGCAGGGAGGCCAAGGTCCCCGAAGCGCCCGCGCAGCGAGCAGGACGCGAAGGCGCCGGTAGCCGAGCCACCAGCAGACGCGCGGTGAGCTCAAAGGCCAGCCACCCTCCCCACCAGTAGGCCAGCAGCAGGTGGGTGTCGCGCGGTCGCAGGCTCAGGGCGTAGAGCGCAGCGCAGCGCGAAACCCACCGCCAGCCTTGGAAGCCGAGGAAGTGTCCAGGAAGCCGACGGGCCAGGCCCCCGTGGCGACCGCCCGCGCAGCACGACGAGCAGCGTGAAGTGCAAGGCCGGCGGCGGCAGCAGCCCGGGGCCCAGGGACAGGGTCACCGGGAAGACGCCCGAGGGGCGCGCGCAGCTGGCTCCGTAGGCTCAGAGCAGCAGCGGCGCGCTGGACACAGGCGACACGGCCAACACCAGCGCCAGCAGCACCGCCTCTCCCCGGCCCGTGGCGCTATAGCGATTCGCCAGGCACCCAGCTGCGGCGTGGGACAGACCGGGTGCGAGCGGGAGAACGCGCGGCGGGGCAGCGGGCGCGCCCGCAGAGTCCGAAGATCCGGAGTCGGCGGGCAGGTCCGGAGCGGCACTCAGAGCGGCGGCGAGCGCAGGGTTCCAGTGCACTGCGCAAGGCGCTGCGCTGCGGAGCGGGGCGCCTCGCGGGAGGGCGGAGCGCGGACACCGCCGCAGAGGCCACCGCCCGCGGCGCTGTCCAGGGTGCTGAACGCGCTCGCCGTCCCCGCGCCCGGCGCAGATCTGCCCCTGGCACCGCCGAGCCCCCGAAGCTAGGCCGGAGGGAGCAGGGTGCGGGGGACCCAGAGGTCTGACGGCTGTTGCTTTGCCTTTACTTCCCTTCTCGTGGAGTGGCGGGAGGGGGCTCTGCGCCCCTCTGTTCCGGACCAGGTTGGTCCGTGCAGTGGTCACACCTTCACGGGAGGCTCCGCGGTGACTCACGCACAGCTGAAATGCTGGGCAGCCAGTGAGCTCCTCCTCCAGTGCCTGTCGCCGTGCGCCTCAACCTCCTATTCTCTGGCACCAAGGCGCCGTGGTTTGTGGGGGGCTCTGAGTAGGGAGGCTGTGGCCGCAGGGAATTGTGCCGCCCAGGCAGACGGTGTCACAAGGAGGGAACTACAGAGGGAAAGCGCGCACTGGCTGGGTCACGTTCCCCTTCCCCAACCCCCAGCTCAGAGGCAGGGACTGGATCCATGCTTTGCTGAACCAAGAAGCATGGCAAGAGGTGGAAACAGGGCTGGAAGAGGGGTGAGGGGAGGAGGGAGATGAGGAAGGAAAGGTAAGGAGGAGAGAGGAGGACATCGGGAGATGGAGGAGGGAAGACAGACAGACAGACAGACAGGCTGAGAACTTGGGAGGGGCTGCTCCCAGCGCCCTACAGTCTGGAAGCACCTTTGGAGCTGGGGCTCTGCCGCCCCACATGGCTCCTGGAGCCTCTAGGAGAGGGTCTCGCTCCCTCCCCACCTCCCCTGACCCCTCTCGCTTCCGAACCTTGTCACTCTGTGGGAATCTCCCAATCGTTTCAGTGGCCAGCTGGCCGGACAAGGATGAAGGGAAGGCAGTTGGAAGCCACTGGTTCCAGGAACCTTATTGGCATCTTCTCTGCAGTGGCAGCCCTGACATAAGAGCCAGAAGACAAACCTTCACCCCACCTTTCCCCACTCCTTCCTACCCATCCTCACCCGGAGGTTCTGCCAGCCTAGCCCTTTCTGAAGAACAAAGTGTGGCTAGCAGGGAGTCTCCCTAGTGCCAGTGCTGTGAGGCCTGGAGGGAGGGCAGGGGACTGGAGGAAGCAGCAGGGCGGACTGGCCCCATCACCTGCCACGTGGCCTCGGGCAGGTCACTTGACCTCCTGGGGCTCCTTTTCTCATCTGTGTGATGGATATTAATAGTTAGTAATTGCATCTTCCTTGTGTGGCTGCTATTAGGATTAAACTAACATATATGCATAAAGGGCTTAGAGCAGTGCCTGGCACACCACACTGAGCACCGAGAGAAGTGTCAGCCTCTGTTATGGTTCCCACCTCATAGCTGGGGAAATGAAGACGCAGCTAAGTTGAGTGTCTTTTCCAAGCCTCCATAACTAGAAACCAGGAGTGCTGGGAATCACTCTGGCTCCAACCCCAATGTCCTTATCATCCCTACGCAGAGAGGCCATCAAACCAGCTCCAAGCCCAGCCTCCTTCCATTAAATGCAGCAGCTTCCCCTTGCCCCCTCCTTCCTGCCAATCTGCTTTCAAATCCAAGAGAAATTTTCACCCAATCAGACCTTGCATGAAACCAGAACAGCAATCAAACATGTGGAGGCTAAACAGTGCACTGCTAAATAAGCAAGAGATCACTGAAGAAATCAAAGAAGAAATTTTAAAAAACCTAGAAACAAATGGCAACAAAAACGTGATAATCGAAAACCTATGGGATGCAGCAAAAGCAGTTCTAAGAGGGGAGTTTACAGCAATTCAGTCTCACCTCAAGAAGTAAGAAAAGGGCTTCCCTGGTGGCGCAGTGATTAAGAATCCGCCTGCCAATGCAGGGGACACGGGTTCAAGTTCTGGTCCGGGAAGATCCCACATGCCGCGGAGCAACTAAGCCCGTGTGCCACAACTACTGAGCCCGCGCTCTAGAGCCCATGAGCCACAACTGCTGAGCCTGTGTGCCACAACTACTGAAGCTCGTGCGCCTAGAGCCCATGCTCTGCAACAAGAGAAGCCACCACAGTGAGAAGCCCACGCACCGCAACGAAGAGTAGCCCCCGCTCACTGTAACTAGGAAAGCCCGCGTGCAGCAACGAAGACCCAATGCAGCCAAAAGTAAATAAATAAATATATAAATAAAATTTTTAGAAAAAGGAACAAGAAAAATCTCAAATAAAAATCTAATCTCACACCTAAAGCAACTAGAAAAAGCAGAGCAAAGAACACCAAAAGTTAGCAGAAGGAAAGAAATCATAAAGATCAGAGCAGAAAGAAATGAAATAGAAACGAAGAAAACAGTAGCAAAGATCAATAAAACCAAAAGTTGGTTCTTCGAGAAAATAAACAAAATTGATAAACCTTTAGCCAGACTCATCAAGAAAAAAAAGGGAGAGGACTCAAATCAATAAAATTAGAAATGAGAAAGGAGAGATTACAACTGACACTGCAGAAATACAAAGCATCCTAAGAGACTACTACAAACAACAATATGCCAATAAAATGGACAACCTGGAAGAAATGGACAAATTCTTGGAAAAGTACAACTTTCCAAGACTGAACCAAGAAGAATTAGAAAATATAAACAGACCAATCACAGGTAATGAAATTGAAACTGTAACTAAAAATCTTCCGACAAACAAAAGTACAGGACCAGGTGGCTTCACAGGAGAATTCTATCAAACATGTAGAAAAGAGCTAACACCTGTCCTTCTCAAACTCTTCCAAAAGATTGCAGAGGGAGGAACACTCCCAAATTCGTTCTACGAGGCCACCATCACCCTGATACCAAAACCAGACAAAGATACCACACACACAAAAAGAAAATTACAGACCAGTATCACTGATGAGCATAGATGCAAAAATCTTCAACAAAATTCTAGCAAACAGAATCCAGCAATACATTAAAAAGATCATACCCCATGATCAAGTGGGATTTATCCCAGGGATGCAAGGATTCTTCAATATACGCAAATCAATCAATGTGACACACCATATTAACAAATTGAAGGGTAAAAACCATATGATCATCTCAATAGATGCAGAAAAAGCTTTTGACAAAGTTCAACACTCATTTATGATAAAAACTCTCCAGAAAGTGGGCATGGAGGGAACCTACCTCAACATGATAAAGGCCATATACGACAAACCCACAGCAAACATGATTCTCAATGGTGAAAAACTGAAAGCATTTCCACTAAGATCAGGAGCAAGACAAGCATGTCCACTCTCGCCACTCTTATTCAACATAGTTTTGGAAGTCCTAGCCACGGCAATCAGAGAAGAGAAAGGAATAAAAGGAATCCAGATTGGAAACGAAGTAAAGCTGTCACTGTTTGCAGACGACATGATACTATACATAGAGAATCCTAAAGATGCCACCAGAAAGCTTCCAGAACTAATCAATGAATCTGGTAAAGTTGCAGGGTACAAAATTAATGCACAGAAATCTCTTGCATTCCTATACACTAATGATGAAAAATCTGAAAGAGAAATTAAGGAAACACTCCCATTTACCATCACAACAAAAAGAATAAAATACCTAGGAATAAACCTGCCTAAGGAGGTAAAAGACCTGTACTCAGAAAACTATAAGACAGTGTTGAAAGAAATGAAAGGTGACACAAACAGATGGAGAGATATAACATGTTCTTGGATTGGAAGAATCAACATTGTGAAAATGACTATACTACCCAAAGCAATCTACAGATTCAATGCAATCCCTATCAAACTACCAACGGCATTTTTCACAGAATTGGAACAAAAAATTTTACAATTTGTATGGAAACACAGAAGACCCCGAATAGCCAAAGCAGTCTTGATCACTGTCCATTTAACCTTTCAGATGTTGATGATGATGGTGATGATGGTGATGATGGTGATGGTGATGGCGATGATGGTGAGGAATTCAGTGGTTTTAATAATGATAATGGTGGTTTTAATAATGACAGTGGTGATAATGATGAGGACAATGACGATGGTGACTATGATGATAGTGGTGATAATGAGGGTGATGATGGTGTTATGATGCCAATATACACATTTAATGAGAATCCATCATGTTCTAGTCACCAGCTAAGTCCTTTGGATATATTATCCTACTCAGTCCTCTCACCTGTGAGGTAGATATTGTGATTATCTTTATTTTAAAGTTGAGGAAATTGAGGCACAGAGAGGATAAAAACTCACCCAAGATCTAGCAGGTATTGAGCAGGTGATGGAGCTGAGATACGGCTGTTTCCCTCAGTGGTTCTTGCAAGAATGGCTGAGACCCCACAGGAAAAGGGTTGGGTGTGATGCCAGGCCCGGGAAGGCTCGGTGGCCAAGGAGAGAAAAAGGAATTCCTGGAGGCAGGAGGCCGGGGGGGTTGCTCAGATGGTTCCGGTGAATAAGGCAGGGAAACAGGTCATTGCACATCAAACAGACTGACCCACAGGCCAAAGCGAGATTTGATCAAATGTGTTAGCGCCCATCACTCATCACTCAACAAAGATTGCGAGGGCCCTCAGAGGCTGGTGGCCCAGCATGCCCCTGTCCTCTGTGCCCAGCTCTTTCTGAGATGGCCCCACTCCCCTCCCCACTGCTGGACCCCAGGTCCTTCCAGAGACTGCACTTAGTAGGTGCTCAACAAATACTTGTGGAATGAAAGAGTATTTTTTAAAGTGTGGTTCTCATTACTGGATTATAACCACCATATCAGTCCATCAACCAGGGAAGCAGAACCAGCAGGAGGTTTGTCGTAGGGATTTTTTCGAGGAATTGGCTTACGTGATTGTGGGGTCTGACTAGGCAAGCTGGAATCCATGGGGCAGGTGGTTAGGAAGAGCCAGCTGGGACTGGGGCACTAGGTGAGGCTGCAGCCATGGCGGATTCCTCCCTCGGCAGGGAGCTAGATCAGCCACCCAGATGACCTAGGATAATCTCTTTTACTTAAAGTCAGCTGATTATGGACTTTAACCATATCTGCAAATACCTTCCCAGCAAAATCTAGATTTGCATTTGATTGAACAGCTGGAATCTATAGCCTGGCCTAGATGACCCATAAAACTGACCACCTTGACAGCCACCAAGTTTAACCAACG